CCCCTCGCCCTCCTTCCTCTCACTCCGGCCCTGTACGGTCCCCTCGCCCTCCTTCCTCTCACTCCGGCCCTGTATGGTCCCCTCGCCCTCCTTCCTCTCACTCCGGCCCTGTACGGTCCCCTCGCCCTCCTTCCTCTCACTCCAGCCCTGTATGGTCCCCCCGCCCTCCTCCTCCTTCCTCTCGCTCCGGCCCTGTACGGGTCAGACAGGAACAATATGGCGCCGGGAGCAGCGTTAGCCTCTGGACCAGTCGTTGTCTGAAAGGCTGGTGATCCGGCAGGATGAACCTCTGCGCCCAATATCTCCGGTAAGCTCGGTGCGGCGTGCTGTCCCGGTTCGCCGCGCGGTGCGGGTTCGGTCAGTAACGGACATTTTAACGCCGACAGGTGAATTGTTTTGTTCGGCGGCTAATGCTAAAGCTAGCCTGTTTGGGGACCACCCCCTTAGCTAAACGTTGGCGCTAGCTAGCTTCATACATCATCAAACAATCGATGCGACCGCGCGTCGTCACCTCGCTCACCTTTATATATAAATCTCTTAGCTATATTTAATTAACCGCACAGGTCGGTGTCGTTAGAGGCGGGTTTAATGTTCGTTGGTGTGATTTTAAAGCTAAATTAGCCGCCACAGAGAGACGCTCTGTGTTATTGCTAGTTAGCTTTAGCTTGCTAGCGTCTGTCTGCGTATGTCATGTTAGCATGAGATGCTGTTACACGTTACATGTCATTTGTGTTAATTAACAGCAGCTTCTTTCATGTGTAGCTGCCGGTTAAAGCTCGTGTGTGTGTGTGATTAAACATCTCCGTGATTGCAGTGTTGATTAGCAGCGGGCGGTGTGTGTTAGCTGTTAGCTAGCTGACGGGTTTGTAACGAAGGTTTGTTTGTTTGTATTCCGTCGCATTTTGGATCCAGGGATTAGCCTGAGCCCGATATCACCACTGCGCCCTCCTGCCGACATTTGATACGAGCTGTTAAATGTTTCAATGCAGCGGATGGACGCGGAGGTGATGTCAGCTCGTTAGCTGTTAGCTCGTAGTCACCTGTGCGTTGTTAATATATGAGAAGGAGTGCTGAGTGTTAGTAATGTCACTGGCATGTGTGAGGTGGAGTGTGGTCATGTTCTGAGTCTCTGATGGACCCGTCTAACTTCCTCCTTCCTCTCTGTTTACATCCGAGCAGACAGGCAGAGGCCCTGAAGGCTGACATGACAGGTAGGTCTGCACCATCACCTCCATCACCTCCCTCAGAGAATGAACACCACTATTGAGAGGGTTATCATCTGCTGCCACGGAGGCTGATCAGGTCCAGTCAGATGTGTGAGAGACTCCTCTGATGCCTTTAGGCCAGTGTTGGAAATGAACTTCTGACCAGCCACCAATCAGTTATCACCCTCGCATGTGTAACTAACTGCAGCGTTAAGTTTGTCTGTACAAAGAAAATAAAACAAGCTTATCAATGTTTATTTCTCTCCCTCACACAGACACACTTAAAATGCTCAAAATCAAACTGCAGACACCCAAGCAACAACATTATTACTATGATTATTGTTATTATTATTATTATTGTTGTTGTTATTATTATTATTTATCACTAATGAATTACCTTCTCTCTTTTGGTTCACCGACTGGAGTTGTCTGGTTTCGTGTGGGCTCTGTGACCTCTGTTTTCTGTGGTCGTATCGGACCAGGTTCACATGTCTTTGTGTCTTCCCTCTGCATGGACAGCCCAGTTTTATGAAAAGACCGTCTTGTCAGCAGTTACTACTTCTTTAATATTCACTGTCAGGTGCACAGTAATGCCTCTAACAAGCAGGAACAAACTTGAGCAAAGCTCTTTCTCAAACTTCACAACAGAAACAGAAGGTCAGTGTTGGGTTAGACCTGTTGGAATACCAGCTGAACAATCCCAGTTTGAGCCTCTTTAGTCTTAACACTGAGTCGACTGCAGGGGACTGGGTCAGTGTTCAGAGCCCAGCTGCTCCGCTGTGGTTCAGTAAAGATCAAGGGTCACTGAAAACAAACTCAACATCATAGCTCACACAGTATTGTCCTCTGTCATGAGATACTGGGTACGTTTACATGCACACTAATTTTCCCCAGAAGCCCAGCAGCATCTTGTTTCTCCGTAGTGTGATTTTTAGATGGCGTGACGACAACATGGAATCAAAAGAGCTGTGAAAGGGGTGACGTGTAACACCCCAGCGATTCTGTCACCAGGTTTTTCAAAGTGAAACATTCAGAGAGATCAAATCATGGACTTTCCTTCCTTTACTCAGTTATTTCAGATTCTGGATCTGAATCACTTTAAAAACCCTCTGCAGTGAGTAATCGATGATGAAATTGTGAAAATGTTGGTTTTGGCCTGTTTTATGCACCTGTGAAAAAGTGTTGCTCTTTTCCTTGTCTGGAGATCTTGGAACAGTGTTAAATGAATAACTAGCTAAACTGTTTTGCGTCTGAATTATTGAGAGCTGAATCTAATTAAGCACATATTGTGTCAGGTTTGCCATATATTATGATTTTTATAATAACTTCCAGCGTTTACACCAGACCACTGGATTGATTAGTTTCACCGCTCACTTTCCCTGTTTTTACCATCCAGTGAGATTTTTAGCTTTGCATGGTGTTTGGATACCTGCCAGAGTGTCTGTCTGAGGGAACGACAGTCAGAGCGCGCCGACACAACTGATATGCAGGATGATCACACGTGTGAAGTTGCATAAAGGAGAACAACAACTTCCTGAGTGTATAAAGAAGTTTGTCTAAAACTGGAAAAAAAATTCAAACATTAAATAAGTCAGCAGGATTTGAAGATGACGACACATTTGATGCTAACTTTCAGGACTCAGCCGATTCTGATGCTGTTGAAGCATTTCTGTCTGTGCTGAGGGTCAGTAACAGGCCCTGAGGTCACGAGGTCACATCCTCCAGCTGATTTCCATCTGTTTCCTGTCTGCGCGTTAGATTCAAAGCTGGGGGCGGCAGAGGTGTGGACGTCCCGGCAGGCCCTGCAGGATCTGTACCAGAAGATGCTGGTGACCGACCTGGAGTACGCTCTGGACAAGAAGGTGGAGCAAGACCTGTAAGCTGCTCCGCCTGCATCACAGTGTCAGAGATGGAACAACACTTTAATCAGGAGAGTGAGTGGAGTTATTCGCTGGTGTGTTTTTCTGTGTGTGCCTGCAGGTGGAATCATGCTTTTAAGAACCAGATCACTACGCTGCAGAGCCAGGCCAAGAACCGAGCCAACCCCAACCGCAGCGAGGTCCAGGCCAACCTGTCGCTGTTCCTGGAGGCAGCTAGCGGCTTCTACACACAGGTGAGAGTCATTTGGAGTTTCATTTGCACTGAGGGACTTCTTTAGCTCCTGTTCCAGAGCAGGTTCTCTCCCAGCACAAGAGGAACGTAAAGAGTGACCAGGGTTGCAGCGTTATACTGTGATGTAAAAGTTGATGGTTATCATACCGTGGTGCATTACCTCATCTGTGATATTAAAAAATGTAACTGATGTTTAGAAGTTTCTCCGTGGTGAGTGTGATCAGAGGGTAACAGGGGATTTATGGTTGTGTGTAGACCCTACGCACACTGCCTTCGCTGCTGTGAGCATTTTTATATCTGCGATGGTGTCTGTGTCACTCTGCAGTTACACCTCCAAAACGCTAGATGGCAGTGGAGGTTTCTGTGAAGTGCTGTAAAGTTTAGTTGATTCAAAACACACATTAAACACACATTAAACACATGTTAAACATGGCTTAATAGAGACAGTTTCAAACACAAATCAGCTTCACTATAACTGACTGTACTCATATGAAGCCAGGGACAACAGCAACATTTAACAAAGGTAACGGCACACAGTTCAGCTCCATTACAGCTCACAAGGTTCACTGACAAAACAACTGTCTGATACTAAACACGTTTTCCAAACAACAACACAACATGCTAACGTTATTAGCACTGAAACATTGTATAAATGAGCCTAGCAGCTAGCAGAGATTTCCTCTGCTCATATTTCAGCCAGGATAAATCACACACAGTGTGTGGAGGCTTTATTGTCTTCACAATTTATTGTTTCTTATCTGTGAAATTAAAGTAAATCAAAGCTTTGTTTCCACTGAGGGAAATGGTTTCAGCTCACAGAGACAGACAGGAGGTCTGCGTCACTGTGACACTGTGGAGTTACATTTCTGGGGAGGTGCACGTCAGGCTACAGCGCAGGTTATGGTGTCGATTCAACACAGATGTATAAATGAGCTTTAAGAGCTGAAAACTGAATAACTCAACACAAACAGGAAGAAGTACCAGAGAGCGCAGTACTGAGGCTGCGATTCAGTCGTAGCAGCCTTGTGCCTTCGACCGCATCACAGCCGTGCTGATATTCAGTCCAACAGCACCACCTCGAGTGTGATCCTGCTTTTATCCAACAGTTTTACATGCATCATTCATCAACAGTAAAAAGCAGCAACAGGTTATCGTTTGTTTACTTAATGATTTATTTGAATAGTTTGGCAGCTGGACCGGGACTGGACTGTTGCTGCACACCAGCTTGCTGCTCTGTGTCATGTAGGCTACATCTGTGTGTCGTGAGTGAAACCGACCAGTGAAATCAGTCTGTTGACAGTCTCTTTGGTCGAGTACCTGGGATGTGATGAGTTAACAGCTTAGGCCCTGATTACACAGAGAGTGTTTAGCAGCTGGAGGCCCCTTTTTGTAATCGTTTTAACGAGAATGAAGCTTTTTGCTACACGCCTCCCATTTCTGCGCTCTCAGCGCCTGGCGTTTTTGCCTGAGCGCTCTGAACTCCTTGAGTCAAAATGGAAGAACGCCACATGTCATCTCTTTTTCTTTTTTCATCGTTTTCCATTGTCCAATGGGATGACTTCAGAGGCGGGGCTCATGGAATAACGCCTGTCCAATCAAAATGCTCAGTCAGAACTATCTGTTGTATAAACCAACTTAAAGGTGTACCGCCACCTGCTGTGTCAGGTGTGTAGATGAGTCAGTGTGAGCCGTCCAGCTTCATATGATCTGTGATATTTACCAGCCGTAACTTCTGCTGCTACTTCATCCTGCTTCTGTCAGCAGGAAACTGTCGACAGTGTTGACGTATCTGATGTTCTTCCTGTTGGTGACGTTCATGGACTCTGTCTCACAGTCAGCAGCTGCTGGTCGATGTTGTTCACCTGCGTTTCTTCTATAAATCAAAGCAGTGGATATCGGCCGTCCTCCACTTGTTTGTCCTTGACTTTAACGTCCTGCATTAGTCCATTCTGACTAATGTCTGACTGAGGTGAACAGATGTGTCCTCACAGCTGCATCGTGTTTTTGAGGTCTGTAATCAGAAGTTTTGCTCCTTCATTTGATTTCCTGTTACAGACGAGCGCTGATGGAATTTACCCGAACGATATCGGTGATCTCTCTGTCGGGTAAAGCGTGCGTCTCTGTGTGGAACATGTGGACGCTGTTTACAATCTGAGCTTTGCCAGATATTGATTTGACATGTCAGTGAAATCATAGTTTTGTCTGTGGTGTCTGGCTCCAGGAGAGAGAGATCAGTGACTGAGAGGATCTGGTCTGTGCTGCCCACTCCTAACACCATATGTGCAGAATCTCAACCCTGATGTGAATCATACCTGAGAAATCAAGATGTAAACTAATCTGTTAAAATATGAATGCGTCCTGATCACTGATGGTGTGACGCCCAGAGACATCAGACTATGAGACGCAGTGTCCTCTGGATAAACAGTCTTCTGCTGTGTTGTCTCCAGTTACTGCAGGAGCTGTGCACCGTGTTCAACGTGGACCTGCCGTGTCGCGTCAAGTCGTCTCAGCTCGGCATCATCAGCAATAAACAGAGCAACACCAGCGCCATCGTCACCCCGCAGCCCAGCTCCTGCTCCTACATCTGCCAGCACTGCCTCGTCCACCTGGGAGACATAGGTGAGAGCGTCCACGTCCTTTGATCACAGTGTTATCAGGTCTGACAGGCTGGTAACTTAATCACTGATTTCACACCTCCCCTGAAATAACAAATCACATCTCAGTTTCATTCTTGTTTGTATGTTTCAGCACGTTACCGTAACCAGACCAGCCAGGCTGAGTCGTACTACCGACATGCAGCTCAGCTGGTCCCATCAAACGGTGAGTCTCACACGCCATGTTTGTGCTAAGCTAGGCTAAAGGCTGTCTGAGTGTGTCTCTGGAAACACTCAGGAGGTGGGAGCAGACACGAGGGGTTTATGTCTGCAGCTCTCTGAGTGTCCTTGTTGTTGAAAGCAGTGATACAAATGCTTTGCTATATTTACCGTAATACATCAACCCTGTTAACTATTAACCCTTTGAACTCTGAAATAGAGAGAGCCACCAGTGCCCACGCTGGTATTTTTGCATACTGTGATGTCATTACTTGGAGTATCTTCAAATGCTTCATGTCCCTAAAATCTGCACAACCTGAGCTAAAAGTTTGTTAGTCAGTAAACCAGAATGATAATGATTAATAGAAACAGGTCTTTTCCTTTTAAATTTTTTTATTTATTTATTTATTTTTTTTTTACAAAAAACAGACATTTTTTCATCAGATTTTACAAACTGAAAATAAAAAACATACTGATCCAAAATATTTTTAAATGTAACTGCACCACTTTTAACATAATGCAGTGACATCATTGTGAGCGTACAACGTGACGACAGACAAACAGAAGCCTGAGCTTTCTGCTGCAAAAAGAATGAATGTTGTAGCTCTTATGGTTTTTATTGTTAGGCAGCCATTACAGGAACATTATGTGGAAATTATGGTGTAATTACAGCAAAATACTATCAAAGAAACCTGGAAAAACATTAATTAAAAAATGATTAAAATCATTGAAAGTTTTTGAAAAGTCATTGAATTTTCTTGCAGGTGATGTTATTGTTGCTGTAGTCTTCTGTAGATAACTGTCCTTCTAATGTAACGTAACGGCAAGTTTACTTTCTGTAGCAGTCGACGTACCACTGCTCTGAAATGTGTCAAGGTGTGAAACTGTTTTGTTGAACATCACGTACATTTCTTATTTTTATTTTTATGCCTCTGCACCAACGATAGCTCGGGTTGTCCATCTGTCCGCATGTCTGTCTCATTCTCGTGAACGCAATATCTCAAGAGCACCTTGAGTGAATTTCTTCAGATTTGGCACAAACGTTAGACTGAAGAATAAACTGATCAGAATTTGGTGGTTGAAGGTCAAAGGTCAGTGTGACCTCACAAAACATGTTTTTGTCCATAACTGAAGAATTCATTCACTAATTCTGACCAAACTTGACACAAATGTCTAACAGGATAAAATAATGAAGGTCAAAAGGTCAAAGGTCAGCTTGACTGTGACATCATCATGTTTTAACGTCAAATCTCAGGAACAGAAGGGGAGACATTTGGTCAGATACTGAATTGGTGACTCTAATCTTGAAACTGTGCTGATTGTATAGATCTTCTGTGTGTGAAGCGTCCATGTTTTCACTGACATGGATGGAGACTGTCAGAGACACTGGACTGGTGGGCGGAGTCATACAACCACAGGGTGGACTGGTGGGCGGAGTCACATAACCACGGGGCAGTAGCTCTGGTCTTAGGGTATATTGTGTTTATTTAGTTTCAGTCTGTGACAGTGTTTTCCACTGTGTATTTTCATTTTAGTTTCACTTTTAGTTTTCGATAATAACCCTGCTTCCACCCTCTGAACCATAAACTATTCCAGCACATTAGACAGCTCTGAGGTTAGAGCGGCCATGTTTGTAGTTCCTCCCTCTGTGTGTGTGTGTGTGGTGTAATGCTCCTGTGTGTCTCCTGCAGGTCAGCCTTACAACCAGCTGGCCATCCTGGCCTCCTCTAAAGGAGACCACCTCACCACCATCTTCTACTACTGCCGCAGCATCGCAGTCAAGTTCCCCTTCCCAGCAGCCTCCACCAACCTGCAGAAGGCCCTGTCCAAGGCTCTGGAGAGGTAACAGCACAGAAACCAGTTTGAAACCTCTGAGGGCCCGTACACATGTCGCGTCTTTAGCTGCCTGGAATATGCGAGGTCGGGCACTGTGTGCGACTCTTGTGCCTACTCTGTGCCAACTTTCAAGAGCACAGAGGCAGGTTGTGTCTGAAGCACCAGCCTACTTACATGAAATCCTGCGTGCAGAGCTGATCTTCTTTCAGGAGCTGCTTTGTATTGGGCCTAAAATATTGTCAGTAGGACAGATGTAAAGCTCTTACCACAGACTAATATTACTGAAGAAGGAAAGATATATGCCGGCTGTGATTGGTTGTTCCCCGTCACATGACATGCTGTGTGTGCTGCTGCGTTCCAAAAGTCAAACTCAGTTTATCTCAGGATGCAGCCGTCGTACCCTAAGAAATAGGCCCTCGGGAACGTGTGCATGTCGTGACAGCATTGCTCTGGCGTTTGAGTGCACCTGCCTCATGTCTACATTAAAACAACAACAAATGCAACGTGTGTACGGCCCCTAAATGTAAGGCTTTGATTTAACCTTCATTCCCTCTGTGAGCATGGAGTTTGTCTGCAGTATTAAATCCTCCCTCCTCCGTCTGTGTCTCTGCAGCCGTGATGAGGTGAAAACCAAGTGGAGCGTGTCAGATTTTATCAGGGCCTTCATCAAGTTTCACGGTCACGTCTACCTGAGCAAGAGTCTGGACAAGCTTGACGGTCTGCGGGAGAAACTGGAGGAGCAGTTTCAGGTGAGACAGAGACAGAATCCATCACTTGTGTTTGTTGTGCCTGTTTTTTCCTCATGCGCAGAGTATTTAAAAAGGTACTCTGTGTGTGTGTGTGTGTGTGTGTGTGTGTGTGTGTGTGCAGAGGCTGATCCTGCAGAAAGCCTTCAGCTCTCAGCAGCTGGTCCACATCACCGTCATCAACCTGTTCGAGCTCCACCACCTCAGAGACCTGACAGCTGACGGCAGCGAGCAGAGCTACAGCAGCGAGCAGCAGATCAGCTGGTTCCAGCTGCTCGGACTCTTCAGTAAGAAACACACACACACACTCTGTCAGTAGTCTTCATTGTGCCCTGCTTCCGTACTGTCACCACATTCTCAACATCATTTCACGTGAACGTGTCATGAATAAACTGCACGAAGATGAAAAAGAATTTGCTGATGAGACATTAACGTGTGGTGTGACGTGAATATGAGACTGTTGACTGCTTATTTTAAAAACAGTTTTTCACCACAGTGAGACAGTTTGAATTAGGGATGCACAATATGGATTTTTTCCAACTGATACAGATACTGTTTTATTCTCTGGTGTGTCAGTAAAGTGTATAAACTACACAGCAGAGTGGAGTCTCCACTGACAGAGACAGACACTGACAGCTGATGAACATCAACATCTGCTGGATCACATGTTCATATCGTCCCGCCCAGGCGCCGTCTCACCGTCCCACCACAGACCAGCTGACAGCTACTGTTGACTCACCTCACACATTAACACTCAGGTCTCCAGAGTCGGCCCCAAAGCCGGGCCGCCCGCCCTCAAGCGAGTAACCCCCGACGACCCTGTTTCTCCCCCTCAAACAAGCCGTGTGTGATGTGAGAGGCTCCTCCTCTCTGTCTGCAGGAGACCAGAGAAAAATGTGTTGTGTTGTTAAAGTCTCTCAGTATGTCTGTAGCTTCTGTAGCTTTAGAAGTTGTGTGAAGCTGCTGCTGGAAAACTCAACATTTCCTTATTTTGCTGCTTCACAATAAAAGTTTTTATTTTTAAAACTCTCTTGGAATTAAGATGTTTCTCACAGAATTAGTGAAACTTTTATTAGCAGCTTTTCTTCAATTAAGACAACTGTAATAACACAGCAGGGAGGAAGAGTGAAAGCAGAAACAGCAGCAGTGAGATGATGATGATGTGGAGGAGGAGGAGGAGCTGCAGACAAACAGCTCACCTCCAACAGGTAAACTTCTGTTACCTGCCCTGCTGTGGAAAACCACCTGCAACAACAATAACAGGGGACTGTAGCTGTGGCTCAGCCTGCAACTGAACATGTAGAAAACACCCTGATATATATCGTGTATCGACATTCAGCCTGAAAATACCAGGATATGGATTTCTGTCCCTGTCGTCCAGCTCTACGCTGCACCCATTTTAGATGATGTAAGCAGCCTTAAACTATACGATGGATCACTGAGGTGATGTTAACGGTATTTATCAAAGCATGTTGTCATATGAGACGTGTGATTGGCTGAAGCTGCTTTATTGCAGGTGGAAACACCAGCAGATCTCATCAGTCTCTGTTGGCTTCAGCCCATCTGTCAGGGCCGCAGCAGCCACTGTGGCAGAAAACTGTCTTTATGTCCAGAAGTCTCAGTGTCCTGCTGATGGTTGGTCGTTCATGGTGTTTGTCTTCCTGTCCCCTCAGTGTCCTTCCTGGGCGTCATGTGCAGCCGAGCTCTGCTCAACAAGAGCCGAGGGGAGGAGATCATGGGGGAGTGTCCTCTGCCGGCCATCAAAGTCTCTCTGGACTGGCTCAAACTGAGACCCAGCGTCTTCCATGAGGCCGCTGTGGACCAAAGGCAGCAGTAAGTCTTCTGTCCTGTTGTCGACATGCTGGGCTGTACGGTCACTTCTGAATAGGAAGTTTAACTTCTCTTCCTCTTCCTGTCTCTCAGCATCTGGCCCTGGCTGGTCTCCATCCTCAACAGTTTCCAGCCCAAAGAGGACGATGTGTCCTGTTCCTCAGGTAGGACACCCGCCACTATTGATTCTTCATTTAGTTCTGTGATCGATTCTTCTGATCTGAGCCCCCTGCAGCCCTACTGTTGGGATTTAGACAAGTGGACAACGAGCACTGTGTGCAGATAAACACAAACACCATTCATCTACACACACTTTACTAACATGGTGACACAGACCTGTGTGAAAATTGGCACAGTTTGACCTTAAAGCCACAGTGTGTAGGAGTTTCTCCCATCTAACGTTGAAATCATATTGCATTCAAACTGATAGCACACTCTAGCGCCTCTCTGTTTCAAACGCGTATTGCAGCTACGGTAGCTGCTGTGTACCAAAAAGCTACGATAACATCGATGAAACCATGTCACCCAATACTTAATGGAGTATTCATTCAGGCTCCTACACAGACACGCGACGGGAGTTGACAAACCCCCTCCTCACCATGCTGGCTGTTGTAAGACTGTTGGGGCGGGTGTAAATCCAAACAAACCAATCACATCTTGTCTTTTGACAACTAACAAGTGGCTCAACCTAACAATGTAATGTGTGTGTGTCGCATGTGTTCAAGCTGAAGGTGTGTTTGTTTTCTCTGCAGTGACGCCCCTGCCAGAGGAGTTTGAGTTGCAGGGTTTCTTGGCGCTCCGCCCGGCTCTGAGGTACTCCACTTTGTCATTAAGTGTTTGGATGAATGTTCAGTGTTTGGGTGAATGTTCAGTGTTTGGATGAATGTTCAGTGTTGGGATGAATGTTCAGTGTTAGATGAATGTTCAGTGTTAGATGAATGTTCAGTGTTTGGATGAATGTTCAGTGTTGGGATGAATGTTCAGTGTTGGGATGGTGCCTCAGTCAGTGATGAGTCAGAAGGTTTCCATGTCCTGATGTCCTTTGGTGTTTCAGGTCCCTGGACTTCACTAAAGGTCACCAGGGCATTTTGGTGGACAGGGACGGGCTGCCGGTTCACACTCGACATCAGAGACTCATCAGTCTGGGCAAATGGGTGGCCGACAACCAGCCGGGGTGAGTGTTCGTCTGTTCTGTCACTGTGTCTGTCAGTTTTACAACTGAAAGACAAACTTACCCTGAACATTCAGTGCAGCACAATGTAAACACGAGGCCGGCTACAATAATTAGGCTATCGTCTTAGCGTACAATACATGAGCATGACCTTTGCCTCTTGCTACCCTTAATATTACCTGTTTTGTTAACATGCGTGTTTGTTTACATAAGAGTGTCAGCAACATTTTAGTCAGCGTGATGTCAGAATAAACAGCAGTACCTACAGCGTAGATACGCATTGATTCAACGCAGAGGTATATATCCTGCTTTACTGTTGTTGACGGTGTAATAAATTGATAGATGACCAGACACTGTTGATGACTTTTTAAATCTGGATGTTTGTCAGTTAAAAGTAGATTTATATGAGACAGCTGGAGACCAGTGAGACCTCCACAATAATGACACAACCAAGGAGATAATACAAAAGATTTATATATATTTTATAAAATAAAAGTTTGTCCTCTACAAGCTGTTAAGAGTAATTTTGTGGTCATTTTTTGAAACAATTGAAAGACTTGTAGTAACTGAAAAAGTTGGACAAGCTTCACAGAGCGTGAGTCAGGTCAGAGGTCAGAGCACGCTGACAGGACATCAGTACACTGATCTGTGTGTCCTCTCTGCAGGCTGATCCAGTGCCGAGTGAGTGAGGACGGCCTCCTCCTCTTCATCACTGACATTCCAGAGCAGGCCATCGAGGAGCCGCAGGAGAAGGAGGCGCCGGTGCTGCAGGAGTCGTCCAACGCTGAGCAGACGGCCAATGACGGCGGAAACTCCGGCCTGAAGTCGGTGCTGTCGGCGGGGAAGACTCAGAGCTCGTGGCCCGACAGCAGCGACCGACCTGTAGTCACCTTCAAGGAGAACATCAAACCCCGAGAGCAGAGCCGAGAGCCCACGCGAAACCATCATCTGAAAGACAGCGGCAAGGAGCGCCGAGACTTCACCAAAGGCAACGGGGCTGCTGGGAAAGGAGAGCTGAAGAGGGACGCCAAGAGGAAGAGCGAGCTGAAAAAAGCCGGACATGAGAAAACTGCTGATGCTGGAAAACAGGTAGAGATGCAAACAATTCTCAGACAGAGCTGCTCCTTTAAATATTTAATGAAGCAGCCACTGACGATGACGTCACACCTGTTTCCTCTCGTTCAGGTGAAGGCGCAGACGGAGCTGCGGAAGACTCCGGTGTCTGAAGCGAAGAAGACTCCTGCCACTCAAACTCAAACTACCTGCTCCTCCCAGTTCATCCCCATCCATCATCCTGGAGCCTTCCCGCCGCTGCCCAGCAGACCTGGTACACACACACACACACACACACACTCACAATTTTTTAATTACAGCTTCAGCCATCAGTCAGTGACTCGATCTACAGAAAACAATCAACAGTTAATTGTTGGAGTCATTTTCAGTAATTTGCAGGTTTCAGCCTCTGCTGTGAGGATCTGCTGCATGTGGTCACGGATCACAGTTAACTGGACTTCTGACTGTTTGTCGGTCAGAATGAGAGATTTGAATGTTCCCAGATTTCTGAGATTTTTAGACAAAATGATGAATCGATAAAATAATCTGCAGGTTGGGGCACGTGCTCGCTCTCATGGTTCTATCTAAGGAAGGCAGACGACAAAAAACTAATCTTAGAAATTTAACAATCAGCAGATTGATAGATAATGAAAATAATCTCTGGATGTAGATTTCTCCACGTTGTTACCGGCTTCTTCTTCTCTTACACATTTAATGCTATTGGACTTCCGGGTCAAAGCCCCGGGGCGGAAACTGTGGAGCATGCTCAGAGCGCCTCGGCCAGTTTGGGTCTGATTGACTGTATACATGCAGGAGTCACATGATCTGGGTGTGTTAGTCCCACTGTGACACATTCACTGCAGGACCATTTCACTCACACTGACACGTTTACAGGGATTTATATAAATCAATTTTCTCTGTCGTCATGGAAACGGACTGAGTGTGTATTAAAATGAATGACTCTATTGAAAACAACTGCAGCTCTACAGTCAGTTTAAATTCTGCTCCTGATTGGTTCCTCTGCAGGTTTCCCCCCCTCAGCCTACGTGATCCCGCCCCCAGTGGCGTTCCCAGGACTTCAGGTGAATCCAGGTTTCACCTTCTCCACCGGAGTGTCCGTCCCTGGACCGTTCCTCCAGCCGGGCGTCCACACCCAGGCCGGCACCCAGGCCGGGAAGCAGTCCCACATTCCCTACAGTCAGCAGAGGCCCTCTGGTCCCGGTCCAGGTCAGGGGCCAGGGTCCTCGGGACAGGGCCCGGGGCCCATGAACCAGGGCCCCTCCCAGGGTCAGCAGCCCCAGCCCCAGGCTCTGCAGCAGTCGGTCCAGCTGCAGGTGCAGGCGATGAGCCAGCAGCAGCAGCAGTCTCCCACCAAACCAGTCCAGCAGGTCGGGATGGGGAAGAGTCCACCTCACCACCCGGGGCTGCAGCAGGTCAGTGGTGTCAGCCTGTTTGAAACCTGAGGGGCATTAAAATCCTCAGAGCACCCAGAATGCTCCCAGCTGTTCCTGTCAGCGTTCACTAACAGTCGGCAGACACAAATATATTTAGTTAAATCTGTAGTTTATCAGGAACAGCTGCCCGGTAACAGCAGCTGCTGCACACTGTACCTGTTAGCAGATCCATTTACTGTCAGGTGACAGGAAGAGAGACGTAGGATATCATTACTGTATTCAGTTGAGCAGCTGAAGGCTGAATTGTCTGCTGCAGTGAGTGATGGTAACTGTAGCTGTGTGTCTGGTCTCAGCAGTACATGCAGGTCCAGGATCAGCCGGCTCAGATGTGGAACCAGGCTCAGGCTGCTCTGCAGAAGATCCCTCCCATGCAGATGTCCCTGAAGCAGCCTCAGCAGCAGCAACAGCAGCAGCAGCAGCAGCAGCAGCAGCAGCAGGCCTTCTACATGGCGGCTCAGGATCCTCTCAAACTGTACGAGCACCAGCTGCAGCCGCCCTCCCAGCCGCAGCTCTCCAACATGGACAAGAAGATCAAGTACCCCAACATGAAGATGCAGGACTTCTACTGGGAGCCGTCGTACAGGATGGGCGACGGTCTGGCTGTGATGGCAGACAGGATGAAGAGGCCTCCGCCAGGTGGTCTCTGCTCTGAGCAGGACGGCTCCGCAGGGCCCCGGGGTCCCCCGTTTGAGGTGAGCAGCTTTCAGGTGATGGTGAAAGAGGAGGAGGAGGAGGTCGTGCTGCTTTTCTGTCTCTCTGCTTCTTTTCCTGCCCAGTTTTATTCTCTTGGGTGTCTGTTATCTGATTGGAAGGTTACAGACGTTTCAGTTGGGTTGAATGTGAGATGAGACGTTCTTAAACTGCAGCACAGGCTTTGTAGATGCTGGATTGATAGCTGCCGCACTGTGGTAGTACGCAGGGATGATTGATTCGTTTCACTGAGGCGTCGCAGTCAGTCTGGGGTCAGAATATTTGTGTACAAACAAAGACATGGGTGAGAATTACTATTCTGTAATATTTAAAAAGTCATAAAGAAATGCTTTCAATATGAAAAGTTCTATTGTATATCAGCCGCCGTCCATTTGAGTGTATCCAGTTCTGTCAGGCCGAGCTCTCCCACAGAGCCCCATTTGCACCAAGCAGTTCAGTTCAGTTCAGTCACATAGTTTCTGTTCCCACAGTGAAAGTTGTGGATGGTCCCAACAGAAGCGTTCCTTAGCGTCCCCATGTTTGGTCCCCCCTCTGTTGGGGTACCTAGCACACAGATCTGGTACTAAAAGGTGGAGCTAGAAACCCAGCAGTCTGATTGGTCAGTAGAGGACGATCACTCTGGCCTCATGTAACCTCTGTTCATACATCAGTAAACTACAACTATAAAATGAAAGAGAAAAAAATAACTTCATTCACTGGGCCGACTGCCGGCAACTTTTAAGGTGGAACGTTAACTTGTAATGTTACTCAATGCATGAGTTGATGACGTGAATCCATCAGCACACCTTAAATTTCAATATGATCTCTGATCAGCTTGGAGGCTTCTGTAGCTTTGAGCATAACTTTCCTTCTTTCCACCTCAGTCTTACCAGCTTGCCTTCTTTCTTTCTCTCTTCTTTGTTTTTACCCCTCTCTTCTTCTTCTTCTTCTTCTTCTTCTTCTTCTTCTCCTCCTGGCTTCATCTCTCACTAGGACAACAAGAGCTCGCCTCTTCTACCTCCTGACCTGTTAAAAACTCTAGCAGATTTTGAGGAGGAGGAGGAGCTCGTCTTTTCTAAGCCTCCTGATTTCTTCCAGGCCTTGGCTGGCCCTCTTAGCACTGCTCCTGGACCAAACATATTTGTATGTAGCCCTGTCTTCCGCCTGCAACGCCTCCATCCTGATCACCCCCCCCCCCCACATCTCGTCCCATCCAGACCTCACGCCTCACTCTGCCTCCTTCACTGAATACTGTCCTCACATGTTGTGATATTAGTTGTTGTGTAGCAGGGATGGGCATGAGTACTCCAGTACTCGAGTAAGACATCAGTATTTATTCAACGTAAGAAGTAATTGCTTTTTTTCTGCCTCCACGTCGGCACTAGCTGTGATCAGAGACATGTTTTCTGGTCGTCCATCTCTCAAGGATGCCTGGAGGAAATGTCCTTAAATTTGGCACAAACATTCACAAAGAGTCAAGGATGAACTCATTAGATTTTGGTGTTGAAATGTCAAAGTCACTGTGACCTTGTTACCCTAGGAATGCTTTCAGGGAATTTCTTCAATTTCGGCACAAACGTCCGCTTGAAACTCAATAATGAACTACGTTTTTGACCATAAGAATTCATTCGCTAATTACGATAAAACTTTTCACAGCTGTCTAACAGGATGAAATAATGAAGTGATGACATTTTATATCCAAAAGGTCAAAGGTTAGCTTCACTGTCACATAGGGATGGGTACCGAAACCCGGTACTACATTAGCCTCAGGGCTGAACTATCAAAGACCGTAGTATTAATAAGCTCTGACGTTATTGGTTCTTTTATCTGCACTTTTACACAATTTGGTTTAATTTATTGTCATCCTGCAGCCTCTCATCTGCGCTCTGTGCCGAGGCTGAACTGACACACACACACACACACACACACACACACCACCGTAGTCAGTGAACAGCGGAGCGGCCGTGGTAGAAGATAACTTGAAAATTACTTGACTCGATGGAAATTACAGAGGACAGGAGGACTGACTGATAAATACCTAACTTCACTCAGTAAATTGATGTCAGTAATATTATTTACACAGTGACAACACTGTGTTCTTTTTAAAATATTCAATAATCCTGTTCTGAATTTATTATTTTTAAAATTAATATATTTTCTAAAAAGCAACCGATAAGAGTCCAGATAAAGCACCAGGTCGATCAGTAGTATTGATGAAATCTTAATGATACCCATCCCTACTGTCACATCATAATATATGTAAAACCATAAATTGACCCTGTTCTTTATTAAAGGTTTATATTTTTTGGACCTAATGCAATGATGTAACTGTTGTCTATGAATATCTGCACAGATCCATCAATAATCTGATAATAATTCAGTGCAAGTACTCGAATATGGAAGTGACATAAAATGCCCATCCCTGTTGTGCAGAGTAACACAGCTGTGACTCGGTCATTGTTCATAATTTACCAGACGAAACTCTCAATTATTCAGTTTAGATGTTACAAAGATGCAAAATCCAGTCCCTCTTAAAAAAAGTGGCAAAGTCAAATTCGTAACTTTGCCGCAGTGTGTACTGACATGAGAATGACTAGATGATGAGGGAGTTATATTTCCTTCACCCATAAATATAAAGTGTAAGTTCTGACAGCTGACTCAGTGAGCAGACGCTTATCCTTCAGATTGTGGTTTTAATCACATGTTGAATGACTTTAAACAGTTACGTGATGACTGACAATGAATCCAAACACAGGAACAGACAAAAGCATCAAACAGCTACAAATCAGAGATGAGAAATCTGAAATGGAGCCCTGAGATGTAAAAGATGATGAAGAGTTAGCAGCAGCAGATCTAAATCAGTTAAGAGTTTCTAAACGTATAAAAATATCCTGTCTGAGGTTTCTGTCGACAGTCAGAATACTGATGCTGTAAATGCTCATTAAACATAATGTCCTCGACACTCGAGACACATCTAAGTGACCCTCAGGGTTTTTCTGCTTTAACCAACAGTGTAGAAATAAAGACCTCCCCCTCTCCTGCAGCTGCTTCACAGTAAAAGTTGCTCCAGCTCCATGACTTGTTTTGGTCACCTTCCCCTCAGCTGGAGGGATTTCACTGTGAAACAGCTGCAGGTGCTTGATGCATTCGAATGCGTCTGGAATACTGAGCGTAGCTCCATTAATACATGTTTACACACTGAGCAGCAGATCTGAGCAGATAAGATTGAAACCAGCCACACTGATGTCACAGACCTTTAATTTGGACGTGTATATAAATCACAGACTGCAGCTGCACATGGTGGACGGTGTTAGAGGATAAAACAGATCACAGTTGGACGTGGTGTGATGTTTGTCGTCTGTGCTTCATCTTTGCAGCTGCCAAACCAGACCAGGATGGAGAGCGGCCCCGAGGTCGTCAGCCAGTCATCTTCTCTCCTGCCCATGTCCGGCTTCCCCATGCAGGTCAGACCATCACCTGAAAAGTTCTCTCCAAAGATTTTGTTTAAACCTGCAGGTGTGTGTGTGTGTGTGTGTGTGTGTGTGTGTGTGTG